GACAGACAGACAGACAGAGAAAGACAGATACAGACAGACAGAGAGAGAGAGAGAGAGACAGGTACAGACAGACAGACAGACAGAGAGAGAGAGACAGGTGCAGACAGATGAATGTGAGTTGGTGTGTTTGAAGGAGAGATGCTCATTTTGAGTTTTCTTTACGCTTGTTAATGTAATTGTTAACGAGTGTCTGTGAATCAGCGGTTCATTTTTACATGGCATCACAGCCTAGATCTCCTGTGTAGGACAATATTCTATAACTTCAAATAAAGAGCAAACAGTAGCCAGACTTTCTAATGTATAAACAGTTTAACAACCCGCCTCCTCCTCCTCGGCTAATTAATGATCACAAACAGTGAAACTTGCAGTGGCATTATTCAGACCTCAAACTAAAAGGAAAGGCTCAGGCCCGCGTCAGTCCTCAGCACAGCCGACAGCTTGCCGAATGGTTGTTCAGCAGCAGCAACATGTGGACAGGCTGCGGGTCAGTCCGGTGTCAGTCCGGTGTCAGTCCGGTGTCAGGCTGTTCCCTGTGAGACCGCGGAGCAGGAACCTGCTCAGATGGTACCGGTGTCCCGGGAACGCAGACATAGCGCCTCACTAGAGCGGCCGGCCTCAGGAAGCATCTCATGAGCCTTCCACCAGTCAAGAGGATTTAGTCCAGTGAGGGGGGCTGTCTCTCAAGTATGTATATTTTTTAATTGTTTAACTGATAGTATTAATCGGTCAAAATTCTTATTGCCGGTTAATTATTAACATCCCTAGTTTGAAGGTCTGAGCTGCCACTGACAGTGACAATGGGCTCGATCTTTATGATACAGGACGCACTGTGCATCTAAACATGTAGTTCAATATGTTTTATACCATAAAATGAACTAAACTGGAGGATAGACAGATCCTGAGTCAGTTTTCTGAAAACCGTATCACCATGGTTACTCTTCGATGAACACTTGTTCCAGATCAGCTCTGATCTATTTCACTCTGATTAAGAAAGCTTATTGATCATACATTGTACAAAGATTCGAATACTATGTTGTACAAATGAGATAATTATCATTAAAATTAGAATAATTATTCTACAAACAAAGTGTTGATCGCTCAGTAATAGTAATTATCATGGATCAGGAAATACTGGGCAAAAAAACAAACATTTCTATCAAACTCTTAAAATCTCAAGTGATCTGAAACGTTCTGAACGTTGTGATAAAACTCTCGGTCCTAACTGATTTTAAAAGTCTTATCATCTTCAGATTTTGTCGAGCTCTTTGTAACCTGACGCTGATACTCAGGTAATGTGCAGACGTGATGCAGAGGTGACATACAGGTGATGAGCAGGTGAGAGTTACCTGATCTGTTTGGCGTAGCTCAGCTCAATGTCAGCTCTCTCTTTAACAAACTTGGTATATCTCTCCAGGAAGTCGATTCCCCAGCTGGTGTGTTTCTCCAGATTATCAAACTGATCCTGAAACCAACAAGAATACAAAGCTCCGACATGACATCAGTCTGTACAGCAGTCTGAATATAACTGTCTATAATCTAATATTATATATTTTATCAACTATCAGAAAGGAAGTGATGGAACTGTCCCTTGTACTTTCCATGATGAAGGTAGCAGGAAACTCAGTAACTCCACGTAGTCATATTTAGTTTCTTTGATAAAGATGGATATACGCACAACATAGATCTTCATACAGCTGATCTACGGACTGAACCAGAGATGTGTGTTTTTGAAATGATAAAAGTTGAATGTGGGACAGAGCGTGGTGTAGGACCTGGACCATGTGTCCTCTACTGTCCCGTTCACTGTCCCACCGCGACGGACAGACACTGATTCAGCTGCTCATGTCAAACATTTCAATGATCTGGAGGAAGCAGCTCTTTGTCTCTGATCTTGTATCTGTAGCATGACACACAAACCAAACCCAGGAGTTCAGACTGGCAGCATGACAGGCATGATCATTATTATCATTATTATTAATATTATTATTATTAGTGTTAGTAATAATAATAGTAATAGTAGTGTTATAATCATCATCTGGTAGGAGTTGGGGGGGGGGGCTGCAGCAGCATCATGGAGGACGCAGAACGCCCGCCGCTGTCGTCACTAACCGTGTTGCTATGGCAGAGCAGACAGAAGCACGAGGGCCTCACTCTCTCTCACACCGACAGGCCGCACGGTTACCGGCTTTCCCGGCACAGAACCAGTAACCGCTGCTGACCGTGTTACCCAACGGTCTAACCCCGCTCTAACCCCGGTGATGTCCGCGTGCAGCAGGTGTGAACAGGTGTACGTACCCACAGCTCGGTGCCCCAGTTGCAGCTCATGTCTCCGGTCAGCTCCTCCACTGCTCCTCCTCTCCACACACCGACGATCACCGCGAGCCGCTGCTGCCGCTGTCCGCCCCGCGCATCCTACCGACACTCACCGACAGACCGACACTCACCGACAGACCTGTCTGTCTCTCTGTCTGTCTCTGTCTGCAGCAGCACGAGCGCAGAGGACGCGATCATGCACGGCCCGTCTCCCAGAGGTCCCTTTGTCATCAGCGAGGAGATGCTGAGATTGTGTGTGTGTGTGTGTATGTGTGTGTGTGTGTATATGTGTGTGTATACTGCGCATGCTCGTTTTCAGCCCCGCCCTGCTGTCACACACACACAATAAACTGTTCTGTACACACACATATGTATGTATATGCATATACATCACACATCACGTGTGCATAATCACATCACACATGTTCAGCTTAATGATGATGTGATAATGATAGTGATGACGATGATGATGATGATGATGAGAGAGAGCTGACAGACAGAGCAGCTGTGATTGTGTCAGTCCTCCAGCAGGCAGCGCTCTTCTCCCATTAATCAAAAACATTTCCTGATTATATGATGCGTTCAGGCACAGCTGGGAAAGGCTGAAGGCTCCAGCTGGTTTCAAATGATGGAATCTGAGATCTTGCAGAAAAGTTTTCAGGTGGAAAAGTTGGAGTGAAGTCAAAGGCAGATGGACTGTGTGAAGCATGAAGAGAGAATGGGGAGGCTGAGCCGTCCTCCATCATGTTCTCCATCTGGTTTCATCATCTGAGCTTTGACTGGCTCTTCTGTGGTTTAATGGCAGCAACTGGAGAATCAGCTCCATCAACCAGTCGACTCAAGTTCACACAGTGGAGGAAACAAGACTACAGGCGTTACAGACAGCCCTACTTCAAAATAAAAATCCTACAATTCATTTCATATTTTGAAAATGTCAGCTAAAAGATATTTTAGATTTTCATAGACAGACAGTCTCATATGAAGTTAGTCTGATACATGAAATGAGTCCGACAGGATAAATATCAGAGGGGTTCAAGATCAGGATCGAGTTCAGGTTCAGCTCTTTGTGTTTGTCTGTGAAGTTGTCACTGACTCCACCTCGCTCTTCTTCTTCTTTGACCTTCTCCTTCAGATCAGGAGCTGAAATGTCGACGAGTCCTTTAAGATCAGATCTGAAGGTTTGGTTACGACGAGGAGGACGAAGGTCAGAGAGACGATCAGCTGCAGGAGAGACGCCTGCAGGCAAGACTCGAGGAGGAAGGAAAACCTGCTTCATTAAATGTACAGGTTTTCAGTGTCCATCACTGAGGAACCGTGTTCATGTCCTTTCATTGATTAGAAACACACTAATGAAATACTGTGTCTGATTTTCCTGTGATTAGTGCAGGACACAGGAAATGATGAAAAGTACAGGTGTGTATGATGGAGTGTGTGTGTGTGTTACCTGACACACACTGGAGTCACACACAATCTGAAGATAAAAGTCATTTCATTTCAAATCTCACGTCCTTTTAAGGTCATCCTGGAAACGCCCAGCGGTCCAATCATGTATCAGTAGGTTGACTGACTGTTAAAGGTCAAAGGTCACCAATTGGCATTAATCATCTCAATATGAATAATATTAATAAAGTGCTGTTTCATTTGTATGATAATGTTCTGCCTGAGTTTGTTTGTTTTTCTGATCACACTGACTGACTGAAGCTGCTGATCAATAATTGATAAAGGTTAATGATTATTGTTAAATGGTCTCAGACCTTCAGACCCAGCAGGAAACCGACTTCATTAGAAACGACAGGCTCAGCCACACGACTGATCCTGACACAGAGCAGCTGATTATTGAATATTTTATTGAGCAGTATAAACACTGTGATTTATTAACATGTATTGATAACTGATTTTAGAATATTTATCAAGAAGAATAAAATGTCCAGGTGTCTGATTTGCTTGTTGATAAAAAGTTGATCAAAGTGTAAATAATTCAAACTATATAAACCTGTCAGACTAGTTAATAATGTTACATATTAATCAACTAATTAACTGAGTCAATGAGTTTAACACCACACTTACCACCACTGCTACTAGTAATCACTACTAGTACCACCACTGCTACTAGTAATCACAACTACTACTACCACTGCTACTAGTAATCACAACTACTACTACCACTGCTACTAGTAATCACAACTACCACTGCTACTAGTAAAGCAATCATTTTTCAGACTGGTGTATGAAAAATGAAATCAAACTTTATTGAAACTTTACACAGAGACAAACAGAAAGACAGAAACAGCTGATGTCTGTTTACATGCGACAGGTGTCATGAAACGCCTCCAGGGTCCTAAAGTCTCGCCATGTTGGAGGAAGTCCGTCCTGAAGAAAACGACCACAGCGCTGACAGGAAGACTGGAAGAGTTTAATGTAGCTCCGCAGCCAGGTCTGCAGGTAGAGAGACAGACAGGTAGAGACACAGACAGGTGAGACAGACAGGTATAGGTTATTGATCAGCTGTTGATCGATGTCTCACCATGAAGGACCGAACCACGACGTCGGGCATCTGAGGCAGCTGGTAGTGCAGCAGGGCAGTGGTGGCGTGGTCTGTTACCTAGCAACAGCACAACCAATCAGAGCACTGTTCACTCACACCTATGTTACTATTTCAGGTGGACAGGTGAATCTTACCTTCTGGAACACCTGGTACTGAGACTTGGTCCAGATGTCAAGCTGAGGAGGAGATACAGACAGGTTACCATGGGGACAGACAAACAGGTATCATTCGCTACCTTTAATTTAGGGGAGTTCCACTTCTCACCTTTCTGTCCTCGTTGTAAACGTTCTCGTTGAATCCTCGAACAACGGTTCTGTCGATGAACAGCGAACGCATCACGACAATTGCCTTTAACACCTTCCCCAGGGTCACCTGAGAGGGAGACAGGTGAGACAGACACACTTGTTACCTGCTGAACTCACTTGTCCAAACACACCTGTCACCTGCTGTGATGAGCCTCAGTACCAGCAGCACAGCAGAAGTCCCGTTGGGTCTGAACAACTCGATGGTCATGTCGGGAAACATCCTGCCGATCCGAGAGATGACATCATCCACATACCTGTGAGCAGGTCAGAGGTCAGAGGTCAGGTTCAGCTACACACTGACATTATAATATCAGACAGATAGGAAGCCAATAATCAATAAATGTTTGATACGAACTCTGTTTTATATCTACTGTGTGGAGTCAGTCTGTACTGCAGTATATACAGTACACAGTACTGTAGTGTTATAGTATATACAGTACACAGTACTGTAGTGTTATAGTATATACAGTACACAGTACTGCAGTGTTATAGTATATACAGTACACAGTACTGCAGTGTTATAGTATATACAGTACACAGTACTGCAGTGTTATAGTATATACAGTACACAGTACTGCAGTGTTATAGTATATACAGTACACAGTACTAGTGTGTTATAGTATATACAGTACACAGTACTAGTGTTATAGTATATACAGTACACAGTACTAGTGTTATAGTATATACAGTACTGCAGGGTTATAGTATATACAGTACGCAGTACTAGTGTTATAGTATATACAGTACATAGTACTACAGTGTTATAGTATATACAATATGCAGTACTACAGTGTTATAGTATATACAGTACACAGTACTAGTGTTATAGTATATACAGTACATAGTACTACAGTGTTATAGTATATACAATATACAGTACTACAGTGTTATAGTGTATACAGTACACAGTACTACAGTGTTATAGTATATACAGTATGCAGTACTACAGTGTTACAGTATGTACAATATGCAGTACTACAGTGTTATAGTGTATACAGTATGCAGTACTACAGAACTCACTGAGGAGGTAGTACCAGAGTACTGGGCTGGACTTTGGGCCGTCTCTTGGCTGAAGCTCCCATCTGATTGGCTGATCGTTTGAGTGACTGTTGGTTCAACAAACTGGAGGCCAGACCGGCGTGGTACTGCAACTACACACACACACACACACACACACACACACACACACACACACACACACACACACACACACACACACACACACACACACACACACACAATCATCAGTACTGACTGACTCTGGATGTGTACCTGAAACCAGGTGTGACAGCAGCACTAACAGCAGGTGAAGTGGTGCTGATGTTTGGGCAGATGTTGGTCGTCAGGGTAACAGAACATCAATATGATTTACACAAAGTAAGGTCATTAGTTAATGGAGCAGTGATTCAAGAGACTCAGCTGGTTAATCAACTAAAGATCACTTCATATCAAAGTGTGTGTGTGTGTGTGTGTGTGTGTGTGTGTGTGTGTGTGGTGTGGTGTGGTGTAGTGTGTGTGGGGGGGTATTAGTCAGAAGCTGCTGATGTGACGCAGCCTGTTAGCATGTTAGGCTAGTTACCTTGTTGGACCACTTGTAGGCCTGCAGCAGCTGAGAGTACAGAGGAGTTTTATCCTGAACCGGATCCAGACTGAGCAGACCACTGTTATGGAGAGGATGAGACTCTGAGGGTCGACCCACCAGACCACTGAGACGCTCCAACTCACTGAGAGACAGACAGGTGGAGGGACAGGGAGGGAGAGAGAGAAAGAGAGTCAGGTGGAGGGAGAGGGAGATTTTTTTTTTTTTTTTTTGATTTTTAAAAACAGACCTTTTTTTCTAGTTAATTCCATGAACACAAGTTCTGATGTTAAATTACAACAAAGAAAAAATCATGCTAAAAAGGAACTACCAAAAACTAAACAGTGGAGGAAAGACTTTCAGCCTGTGCCTAAGGGGCGAGGCGACCAAGTCATTGACAGTCTGGCACACTCTCTCCATAACACCCTCCCAGTTCTTCCTCTCAAACTCTTCAGTTCCCAGAAAAACATCCAGAATTTTCATGCCCTGTTTTTTCCCCAGCTGAGATTTCCTGGTAACTTTGGTGTTTCCTCGTCTGCCCACTGCCCAACCTCCAAAGCCTCACTTTTTTCCCCAGTTCACCTTTGCCGATGATGCCCTTTCATACAGACTTAAACTGCTTGACAAGAAGTCCACATCCCTCTGGTTTCTAACAAATATACATAAGCAGAAACCACCAGCGAGGGGCGCTGAGACAACCCTGGTAACGTGATTCCTGGCAGCTTAGATCGTAACCTGGTCAGACGTGGCTCAATTGCTAATGAGTACAGCTGTCCAGAAATAGGACATCCCTGTCTGATGCCCCTCTGAACCTGTACTGGACAGCTCAGCCCACCACCCACCTTCACCAAACAAAAAGCTTCCTTATACAACAAACAGTGACACAAAACCAAAAGCAAAAACCAACCCTATCAAAAGCCTTCTCCGGATCCAGTGAAACAATCCCCACATCAATATTGTACAGTTTACAGATGTCCAGTAAGTCTCTGGTGAGAGCGAGATCGTCCATGATGGATCTGTCCGGTACAGTACGACTGGTAATTATTAATTCCATAAAGTGTTTCAGTTTGTTGGTGAGCACTTTTGAAAGAAGTTTGTCACCCGTACACAGTAAAGCTACTGGTCTCCAGTTCTTTAGCAAAGTCAAGCCTCCTTTTTTGGGCGGCAGTGAAAGAACTGCTGCCTACAGGACGCTGGTAACAGGGCTGAGCACATTACTGCAGCACCTCCTACAGGTCAGCTCCCAAACACTTCCAGGAGTGCTTATAAAACTCTGCAGGCAGTCCGTCCAGTCCCTCCAGGGAGATGTTAGCGTCCAGGACGGCTCTGTCCTCAGAGCCCAGCTGCAGAATCCCCTGCAGCAGCTCGTCCACACACTCTCTGTTACAGTCCTACGTCCTGAAGAGGGCGCTGTAGAACTCTACGGCATGTTGTCTCATCTTACTCGGGTCAGTCGTCACTGCACCGTCAGGGAGGTGGAGACAGACCATCTGTTTGGTCCGAGAGACGGACTTCTTCAGGTTAAAGGAGGTGGGAGCATCCATGTCTCTAACGCTGATGTAATGTGACATGACCAAAGCCTAGGGGTGGGCGATACAGCAAAAATATCATATCACGATTTTTTTAAAAATAAAATCACGATTTCGATTTTATCACGATCTTAAATTGGAAAAAGAAAAACAGACAATTTAGACCAAAGAACCTTTCTTAACAGATTTTATTTCAAATAGTCGCAGTTTTGCCTGCATGTGCAAACAACGTAAAGTTTAAGGTAAACAACAACATTCTGGTTCGTCGTGTTACCACCCGACGTGCGAACGGTTTCTGTGCAGACTTTGCAGATTACATTTGCTTGCGCTTGATCAGTTGCGGAAAATCCAAACCAATTCCATATAATGGAGGTGGAAGTTTTCTTAGCGACCGAGTCCGTTTGGCTTTCAGCCATCGCTCTCCATGTGCTACCACTACACACACAAACAAGGAGGCGGGTAGGAAAGTGCGTCACTGCCTGTAACTCGCTATGATTGGTCGGTCAGGTTGACGACGTCAATACGTCTGGTGCGTCGGTGCATCAGCATAGAACTGCAATTTATAGAATGTGCCCGAGACGATCCCACGATCTCTGCAGTTTGAAAGATCGTCTTCACGTTGTAATCCTTCACGATCTAATATCGTCATATCGCCCTCCCCTACCAAAGCCCCTTTAACGCTCTCGTGTAGGAATGAACTTAATTCATGTTTCTTCTGTTGAAGTCTGTGACTGTCTGTGCGTGAGTAGAATATTTTCTAAATCCTGCATGACTCTTTTCACTGTCACTGTGGAATGACTTGTGTACTGTTGACAGAAACACTCTGCAGAAGGTCTCAAAAGTCTGACAGAAAGCTCGGTCCTGAAGCAGCTGCACGTTAAAGCGCCAGTGAGAGCTGCATCTAGTGGTTGGTGAAATGTGAAAATCAAAAGCGACTAAATGATGCTCAGTGAAACCTACTGGATAAATGTGACTGTTCAGTAACCTGGTGCTAAAACCATGTGTCACATAAACCCTGTCCAGCCTGGCTGCCCTCACATTCCCATCCAACACTCTGACCCATGTGTACTGCCTGACCTGAGGATGTTTGAGCCTCCACACATCCACTACACCTGACTCTGAGATCACAGATGACTGCAGGTGCGGTTCCTCTCCTGTTCTCCCCCCATCACCACACATTCACTCTGATCACCCTGTTCTAAGAAGTCCTTTAACTTCTGGATCGAGTCCAGCCTGTGTGAGCCCTGATTCAGAGCATGATGTTAATGAAGCAGAAAGAAAAGTCCTGTATTTCTGCTCTGACCACTGCAGCCCTGCCCGTCACCATCTCTGTGGTGGAGATGACATGAACGTCCAGGCCTGGAGAAAAGAGGACGGCCATACCAGCAGAGAGGTTGGTCCCATGAGACAGGAAGTACTGACCTGTCTGTCTCATTCACTGTCACTGTGTGTCTCCTGCAGGAAAACAATATTTAACCTCTTCTGGGATGACGATCACCCAGTGCACCACATTCATTTTCATGTTACTTATTAGTTTTTAACCTTTCTTTTGCTCGCTGCTCTCACCTTCCTCAGACTGGCCATGTGCTTCTTCTCATCTAGTAAGTCACCTCCCACTACTCTCTGCAGGGCTGACGCACTTTTCAGAAACTTTTCTACATCAGGAAAATAAAATCAGTCCCATTGACAGACTTTCCAAACATTTCATCTAAAAATCATTCATCTCATGCAGTGTGTACGATTCAGCACCGCATGACTGTGAGCCATCAACAGACACAAAGTCAGAGTCATCCTCCATTTCTTCATCCTTCCCCTCACCTGTCACACTCCCCACAACACCTGTCTCTTTAACCCGTTCAGCAGCACACTGACTGTGGTCAGATTTACCTGCCGCTCCTTTTAAACTCTCTCCTCCCCTGACCTCCTGCAATGTTTCCTCTGCTCCTCTCATTTCATCCGTGCCCACAGCTGTTTGTTGTTCACCTCCCTGTGTGTCTGCCTGTCCGCTGGATCCTTCTCCTAAACCCCGTTCAGCGTGGCGCCGCTCGCTATCAGCTCCACCACTAATCCCTCCTCTTTCAGAAACACATAGCAGAGGTTACCGTACCACACATGGTCTCCCATCGCCAGGAGAACCGCCTCCACCGGCACAGTTGGGTCAGGCTGGACCCAAACCGCGTGTCGGATGGAGAGGGGTGGAGTCCTGGACACCTCCAACCACACAACAACTCACTACAATAAATCTACAATAAATCTACAATAACAGCATCGAAAAAAGAGTTAAACGCCAAACACCAAAACTCACTCAACCACTCATTCACCCACCACGCTCACTTCCCAGCATGCACTCTGACAGAGAGAGGGAGGGAGAGAGACAGAGAGGAAGAGAGAGGTGGAGAGACAGACAGGTGGAGGGGGAGAGAGACAGACAGGTGGACAGAATGGTTATCTGTTAAAATCAATGTGACACTTAACTGCTGTAAAACAAAAACGTTACTCTATTAAGGACAGTAAAGTTCATACACCTGACAGGTAACATTAGCAACACCTGGCAGGTAAATGTGATCCGAAGATGTCAGATTGATCCACTGATTTCCCTGATCAATAGCCAAAAATGTATTTTGGCCTGGTTTCATGTTCCCAATCCACACACCCGGGGCTCTGTGCTTATCTTATATTAGCTTAGCTTAGCTTAGCTTATGTTGCCGTGACCACAGCGGCAGGTATCAGTGCTGTGCGGTTTGATACGAGTTAATGACAGCTCAGTCTACAGTGTGGCCACAGGCTAACTGTTCACACCAGTAGTTTACTGGCTGCAGTCTGGGGAGCCGGACTCACTTCAGGTCTCTGTTGACTGCCTGCAGGTTGTCCTGGAACTCCGCTATAAACTGCTTCTCTCGGCCCTCCAGGGTCTCCCGGTTCTTCATGCCGTCCTTCAGGGACTCGAAGACGCGGCTCACGCTTGAGCGGAGCGCCTGGATGCCGCTGATAGCATGAGAGAAAGCGTCCAGATTCACCCCGACGTTCACCACGTCCGCCATCTTGTCTGTTTCTCTGCTGCTGGCGCTCAGAGATGACGTCATGGAGTGGAGACACATGAAAAAAAGGGAAGAAGATAATTCGCACTGGGCCAAAGATACAGCTAAAGTACAGTCCAGGAGGATCAAGTCGCCACCCTTGAATGTGAAAACAATTAAGTTTGGTATCCGTGGTAAAAATGGGAATAGGAATTTTCTGCTGAATATTTTACTCTTAAATTTTTTATACACAAATGCAGGTATTTTACAACCAAATCATGTATAAATCATTTGCTGAACGAATTTAAATTACTAAGCAAGTCCCTGAAGCTTATAAAAGATGATAAGAAAGCCCTTAAAATAGTTCATTTGAAATAAGCCCCTTTCCAATTTTTCTTGCCTTTTATATGATGTACTTTTTGTTTATTTCTTTAATGTAGTGATGCTCAACTGGCGTTAGTTCTTATTCTTTTCTGTGAAAACTAAATATATAATATAAATAAATGCTTTATTTGTTTGTATCTTAATATGTGTTTGAAATATATATATATATATATATATATATATATGGCCTGGTACAGTATCTGTTTAAAAAACAACTTTATTTAGAACAATTACAAACCAATTTCTCGTGGGAACAGAGAGCCACAGGGATCACATCCAATCCTGAAGTTGGTAGGTAGGGTAGAGGTAGAGAGAGAGCGAGGTGGGGAGAGGTAGAGCTGACAGTGGAGAGAGAGAGAGAGAGGTAGAGAGAGATAGAGGTAGAGCTGACAGTGGAGAGAGAGAGAGAGAGGTAGAGAGAGATAGAGGTAGAGCTGACAGTGGAGAGAGAGGGAGGTAGAGCGAGATAGAGGTAGAGCTGACAGTGGAGAGAGAGGGAGAGGTAGAGAGAGATAGAGGTGGAGAGAGAGTCAGTTGAGACTGAGCCGACAGAACGAACAGATCACTGAGAAGTTTTTCTACGGCAGCAACAGAGGAGAGGAGGAGGAAAAGATAAAAAGAAGAGGAGGAGAAAAGAGAGGAGGAGACAAGACAGAGGAAGAGAAGAAGAAACAAAGAAGAAAAGGAGAAAAAGAAAGAGACTGAACAACAGGAGGAGGAATAAGTCCTGTCGTCTGTTTAATCACCTTATCAACAGAGAGAGAGACAGGTGAGTAACAGAGAGAGAGACAGGTGAATAACAGAGAAATAGACACAGGTGTTGGACAGGTGTTGGGAGTCTGGACCTCAGTCTGATCCAGGTCCAGGTCTGAGGTGGAGGGTCAGACTCAGCAAAGGTTTTAATAAACCAGTGTCTGTCCTCAGTGTCTCCCTTTAATCATCTCTCTTCAGTCGGACACAAACAAACAAACAAAGATGGAGTCTCATTCATACCTGACTTTATTTCTCTGGAGGCTGCAGGACACAGAGATAGAACATCCTCTACCTGTTTATAATAAAGTTCACACCTTTCTACACCTGTTACAACACCACAAGGTCCACTTAGTAAATGTTCTGGAGCTTTTGATCTGATCACATGATCTTCCTCAGCGTCAGAATGAACTGATGATGTGACAAGCTCAGTGGGTTAAACCCGTCTGTACCCAGGTTCAGTCTGTTATTGGTTGTTGATGATGATCATTCGATTGATCATTAATAGGAACTAGAGTGTTTGTGTTGCACGTCTTCACTGGCCCAGAGGTTTGGTACAAAAAGACAGCAGCCAATCAGAACACAGAGCAGCCTCAGGCCATCAGATGGTCGAACAGAACACTGAACCAGGATCAAAGAGAACAGAACATTCAGGTGAACATACCTGGTCGACGACTCTGTTCAGGTCTGCTCAGGTCTGTCATCTCTGACTATGTCACTGGTGGTTTTTGTTGTTCCAGTTTCGTTGAACCACCAGGGGATGGCGACCACCTGATGGATGGTAACCAGCAACAACTCTGTAACCATGACAACCACCTGTTTGAGGAGAGAGAGCTGAACCTGATGAGATGTGACTTCTTGATGAACTTCCTGTCTGTCTGACGGTCAGTCCACCATGTCCCTCACCCTCCTTCCCCTTCTTGTCCTCCTACCGGCACTGGGCCAGAGTCAGACCGGAGATCTGTTTGATGTGTGTCGGTCTCTGCGCGGCTCAGAGGCGGGGCCGGGCTGGGAGTTCTATGCCTGTCAGCCGCCACCCGCCAACATGAAGGAGGTGATGCAGATCAGAGTCGACCCCCCCGGGATCACCTGTGGAAACCCACCTGAGAGATTCTGTACACTGGTCAGTGACACACACCTGAACACACCTGAACACACCTTAACACACACCTGAGCACAGACACATAGATCAGATCACACCAGACTGGAACCAGCATCAGAACATTCCTGTTCTGGTTTTTCTCCTGCAGGTTTAACTGGACTAAACAAACTGACTTCCTGTAAACAGACATCCCATAATGCATCACTCTCTGAGGAGCAGACTAAACAACTGCTGACATTCCTCCTGTCAGTCATCTGCTGACCCCTCAGAGTGATCAGGTGACCTCCTGCAGGTCCTCGGGTTCTGTCTAATTGATCCTTTGGGAAGCTGAAGTCTGAATTATTGATGAATGTAGCAGAAATCAACTGTTAATGATTCATCAATGAGAATTCACAGGAAACAAAAACTGACCCTGTGTCAACAGAGGTCAGAGGTCAGCAGTAAATACAGCAGCAAACATATTTTACTTGTAGTAGACTCTGAGGACTTAACCAGTTTATACTGGACTCACTCTGAGCTGTACTAGGAGCTGTACTAGGAGCTGTACCTAGGAGCTGTACTAGGAGCTGTACTAGGAGCTGTACTAGGAGCTGTAGTAGGAGCTGTAGTAGGAACTATACTGGGAGCTGAAGTGGGAGCTGTAGTAGGAACTATACTGGGAGCTGTACTAGGAGCTGTACTAGGAGCTGTACTAGGAACTATACTGGGAGCTGTACTAGGAGCTGTACTAGGAGCTGTACTAGGAGCTGTACTAGGAGCTGTAGTAGGAGCTGTAGTAGGAACTATACTGGGAGCTGAAGTGGGAGCTGTAGTAGGAACTATACTGGGAGCTGTACTAGGAGCTGTACTGGGAGCTGTACTAGGAGCTGTAGTAGGAGCTGTAGTAGGAACTATACTGTGAGCTGAAGTGGGAGCTGTACTAGTAGCTGTAGTAGTAGCTGTACTAGGAGCTGTAGTAGGAGCTGTAGTAGGAACTATACTGGGAGCTGTACTAGGAGCTGTAGTAGGAGCTGTACTAGGAGCTGTACTAGGAGCTGTACTAGGAGCTGTACTAGGAGCTGTACTAGGAGCTGTACTAGGAGCTGTACTAGGAGCTGTAGTAGGAACTATACTGGGAGCTGTAGTGGGAGTTGTACTAGGAGCTGTAGTAGGAACTATACTGTGAGCTGAAGTGGGAGTTGTACTAGGAGCTATACTGGGAGCTGTACTGGGAGCTGAAGTGGGAGCTGTAGTGGGAGCTGTAGTGGGAGCTGTACTGGGAGCTGTAGTGGGAGTTGTACTAGGAGCTATACTGGGAGCTGTACTGGGAGCTGTACTGGGAGCTGAAGTGGGAGCTGTAGTTGGAGCTGTACTGGGAGCTGTAGTGGAAGCTGTACTGGGAGCTGTACTGGGAGCTGAAGTGGGAGCTGTAGTGGAAGCTGTAGTGGGAGCTGTACTAGGAGCTGTAGTAGGAACTATACTGTGAGCTGTAGTGGAAGCTGTAGTGGGAGTTGTACTAGGAGCTATACTGGGAGCTGTACTGGGAGCTGTACTGGGAGCTGTAGTGGAAGCTGTAGTGGGAGCTGTACTAGGAGCTGTAGTAGGAACTATACTGTGAGCTGTACTGGGAGCTGTAGTGGAAGCTGTAGTGGGAGTTGTACTAGGAGCTATACTGGGAGCTGTACTGGGAGCTGAAGTGGGAGCTGTAGTGGGAGATGTACTGGGAGCTGTAGTGGGAGCTGTACTGGGAGCTGTGGTCTCTGGATTGTCCGACAACCAGGCCAACAGGAATGGTCCCATGCCACCTGATTGGTCGCTCCACTCCCTGTTCTGAACAGAACTGCTGTGTTTCTGCTGTGACGTGTTTTAACTAACCTCACACTGACATGAAGGATGTGTTTCCCTCATTAGCTGGAGTCTGTCAGCGTTAGTCAGTGATGGTTGGTTAAATCCTGTTTAGTGGTCGACTGTGACAGTTGGCAGCAGCAGCTGAAGTTACAGGATAAACCTCTGATCAGATTAACATCAGTTTTAATCCATCACTGCACATGTATGTTAGTGGGACACACACACACACACACACACACACACACACACACACACACACACAGACATCATCATTAGACATCAGTGTCTTAAAGGAGCTATATGTAAGTTTAGCTATTGCTACACAGCTAATGTTAGCATTAGCATTAGCAGCTGTTCATCCGTCATTGTTTTTACAGTTGGACCCACAGTGACTCAAGCTGTGTCTCAGTTCAGGTCTGTGATGTCATCTAAAGAGCGATGACATCACTCCTCAGACGTGTTGAGCTGGTTGATGTGATGAGTTTGGTTCTGTGTGTCCTCAGGAGAACCCGTACCTGTGCAGTGATGAATGTGACGCGTCTAGCCCCGACCTGTCTCACCCTCCCCAGCTGATGGGGGACAGGGAGAGGGGGGGCCTCATCACCTATTGGCAGACGGTCACATGGTCCAGATATCCTGAGCCGCTATTGGCCAACATCACTCTGTCCTGGAACAAGAGTCTGGAGGTGGTCGATGACATCATCATCACCTTTGAGTACGGCCGGCCAACCAGCATGGTGCTGGAGAAGTCCATGGACAAAGGTGATTGGTTTGGGTCTGGGGCTCTGGGGGTCTGGTCTGGGACACCTTCCATAGCTGATCACAGCACGGTGCCGGGTCAGGTTCACCTGTGAAGACCCACACTTGTATCAGTCCCAGACTCACTGAGAACAGGACCGAGACCGGTGCAGAGCCAGGAACAGACCAGGATCTGCACAGAACAAGAAGGATGTTTGAAACATTGGTGACTCACAGGAGGAAACAAAGACACCGTTGAAAAGAAAAACAAACAAGATGTAAATGTTGGAATAATTTAACATGTTGGGCATTGATTATCAATTGTCATCAGAAATTAACAATATAGTATGAACATTAATAACGATTAATCAATTTAATTAAAGTTGTAGTTATTGCTGCAAATGTTGATGCTGTCTCAAAATATATTAATCTGGAGCTGTGATTGACAATGAACTGACTAACGACCACATCAGTAATAAGTCATTGTGTGTGTTGCAGGTGTGACGTGGCAGCCGTATCAGTTCTACGCTGACGACTGTCTGGAGGTCTTCGGCATGTCACCTAAACGAGTCTCGGATTTAGCGCCGACTAATTTAACACGGGTGATCTGCACCGAGCAGTACTCCCGCTGGGTCGGAGCCAAGGTGGGAGACTGGACCTTATAATGGTCATACTGTTAATACTGGTCATACTGTGAAACAGATAATGTGCCTGCTGCTTGGTGTGTATCCCTCACATGCTTCATGGGAGGATGGAAACAAGCACATACATCCCCCTTTCTCCCCAGGCCGACGACAACTTTTAAGATGAAACTTGTGTTTGAATTTTGTATCACACAGAGAAAATAAAAAGTTGTATGGGGAAAATTTCAGCACTACTGGCATCCCAAGGTTTCCATAAAGACAATGATATATGAAATGTGTATCTACAGTTTAAGGTTGAGGTTTTAACACAGTTTAAAAAGCTTTGGACAGCCCTCTCTGCACTTTGGGGGGATTACCTCTAAAATTGTAAAAGATATCAGAATGAGACCAAAACTGATATAAGACCAATTTCTTGTTTTTATATAGAAATTGGATTTAAAAGAGGTTGTCAGATTTTTCTTGAGGAAGATTTTCAAGGATGACAGTTAAACTGCACGTGATGTCATCCTCTCTGGCTTTGGCCATTCTGTGCAATACACACCCATTATAAAATCTAAAAAAGTGTAAAAGTGATGCAAAACGTAAACTGCGATTTTGTGAAACCATAAAAGTTATCAAAGTAGCAATTTAACTCAAAAAGACCCATTTAAGGTTTCAACCATGTTTCTATGTCAAAGTATTTTCTGGGTTTTCTTGAAGCTATGGGACTAGTTACATGCCGAAATCTTTACGGAAGATTAAGAAGAAGAAGAAGAAGTAAGCAGGATTGTAATATGTTCCTACTGTACTACATAATGATACAGACTCTAACACAGTAATAGTTGAAGTTAATCTTGGAAACTGCGAGAGTGAACAGCAGGTGTGATGGGACAGGTGTTGTGTAGCTGACAGGTGATCTGACTCCTGCTGTCTGACAGGAGGAGAAGACTGTGGTGTTCGAGGTGCGCGCTCGGTTCGGAGTGTTCGCGGGTCCGAAGCTGATCAACATGGACGCTCTGTACACACGGATGGAGACCATGAAGGGTCTGAGAGATTTCTTCACCTTCACCAACCTCCGTCTGAGACTGCTCCGCCCCGCGCTGGGCGGGACCTACGTCCAGAGAGACAACCTGCTCAAGTACTTCTATGCCATCTCCAACATTGACGTACCTGCCAGGTAACAACTGCACCCACCATAACTCAGATGACCAATCACTGAGCGAGGAGGCTGTGATGTCAGAGTGTCTGTTGCAGAGACTGATGTCAGACAGGTGTGTGTGTGTGTGTGTGTGTGTGTGTGTGTGTGTGTGTGTGTGCTCCTGCAGGTGTAAGTGTAATCTGCATGCGTCTCAATGTGTGTTACGAGATGCGACCCTGCAGTGTGAATGTGACCACAACACAACGGGACAGGACTGTCAGCGCTGCAGACGAGGGTTCAAGTCCCGCAGCTGGAGACCTGGATCATACCTGCCCCTGCCCAAAGGCACTGCCAATACCTGTATGTACCTGTACCCCCCCCACACACACACACACACAGGTAGATACACAGTGTGTCATGCTGTTTGAATAAAAGTCAAAGTGAGAAAGACTGAAACATTTAGGAACCAATCAGAACTCAGAACAGTGTGACTCCTCCCAGCCACTGACATCAGTACACCATAAGAAAATATATGAAGAGGTTTGTTGTCAGTCGTGTGCATGCGTGTGTGTGTGTGTGCGTGTGTGCATGCATGCGTGTGTGTGTGTGTGTGTGGTGGTCTGTGATATTGGAGGAAGTGTCCTGGTGGCTTCTGGGTAAAACTTGTTCTTCTGTCTTGTCCTGTTTGTGGTCCTCTACTGATGATCCTGGTGAGGTGGATCCAGACTGGTCCTGATCCAGTTTGGTCCAGTGATGGATCACAGTGGAGGGAACACGACTCCACTCATAATCACACCTCATTAACATGTTGTGTCTTTTTCAGGTGAAGTAGCTGAACCATCAGCCAGTAAGTACTGACACCTGTCTGTCTGTCTGTCTATCTGTCTGTCTGTCTGTCTGTCTGTCTGTCTGTCTGTCTGTCTGTCTGTCTGTCTGTCAGTCTGTCTGCTCACCTGTCTGTCTGTCTGTCTGTCTGTCTGTCTGTCTGTCTGTCTGTCTGTCTGTCAGTCTGTCTGCTCACCTGTCTGTCTGTCTGTCTGTCTGTCTGCTCACCTCTCTGTCTGCTCACCTGTCTGTTCACCTGTCTGTCCCTCAGCCCTTTCTGTCTCTTAGTCAAAGACATAAAAACGTAGTAACGTGGTCAGTGTTGCATCATGGGAACAGATATGAGCTTTGAGCTCAGAAACCATTTTAAATGTGACAGTGTCACTGATTGTAGCTACCTTGTTGCCATGGTGAAAATGATTGACAGGGACAAACTTGTCTGTTTGTTATTGTGTTGTAGTTTTACCTCAGTAAAGATCTGATCTGAACTTCTTTCACCACTGACAGTAACTACTAGTAACTACTAGTTACTGTGTTGGCACTACTAACTAACCCATCGAGGAGGTGGAAACCAGCTCCATAGATAGATAGCTAGATAGATATTTTATTTAACCCATGTTCTGAAAAGTAAAATCACTGTTGTTGTCAGTGGAGTCTGGTGTTTCTGAACAAAAAGGTCTGACTCTGTAGAAATCCAATGTAATGTTTGATGTTTGTCCCTGTCAATCACTTCCACCCAGAAACATGGGAACAGAAATTAATCCCAGTGTCATCCTTTAAAAATCAGAGTGCATTCTGGGAGGAAATTGAGCGTTAATCTGTGGTTCAAAGCAAGTTAACACACTAGCAGATGGTGTGTGTGTTTAATCTGAGCTCATCTGTTTTAACCTGGCAATCGCCTCACACACATGCACGCATGCACACACACACACACACACACACACACACACACACACACACACACACACACACACACACACACACACACAGAAGAACAGATCCATTCTACAAGATGCAACAGTGACAAGAGAAAATAGTAATGATAGAGAATAAAGATCTGTGTGATATAGAGATGTAACACACACACCTCTGGTCAGAGACAACCAGTTTCTCATCTGAAAGTTGATATTTAGCTTTAGAATATTTCAAACTCATCTCATTCCTGCAGCAGTGAAACTGTGGAGTGGAATCTGTCCAGCAGTGTGTGGAACTGGTCTCCATTAGAGAAACATTAGAGTCCGGTGAAGGTCTGCAGAACAAATCTGTTGGGATCAGGTGACTGTAGTAGACTCCAAACTAAATGAAGCTCAACGTTCATGATTCATCTCCTTGATCAACAGCTCCTAACAAAACTACACACTGTGTGGACCTACACATCAAGCAGGACATATAAAAGATACGGTATAAAATGAACAGTCGCAAAAATGTATCTGGGTGGCCACTGTCCACATTCATCTGAACGCAGCACAGAGATGTGCAACTCCAGCTTCAGGCTATGAGGCTCAATAGAAACCCACTGAGCTTCAAGTGATAGTTGTGGTGTGGCAGGGATGTGTGTGATGGTAACGTCATATACGTCAACCTCACTCGTTGGCACTGGAAATACTGGTCGGTTAAACTAATTATTAATATTTTATTCATGTAGAACACCGGTTAACTGTTGCATCTAAGATGTTGGACAGCCACCCACCACTAGGTGGAGCTGCAGCCCTGACAGACAGACCCCCACCTCTCCCTTCTGATGCCAGGATGTTGTAAACAGGAAAGCAGGACAGAACCAGCTCAGTTTGGCAGATCCAGAAAAATGAAAAAAATGTTGTTTCGTATAAAACCATTCAACCAACGTGTGCAAGGACTAGCTGCTGGTGCTAGCACTGCTAGTGTTAGCCACAATAGGCAAATCGATACAACACGTAGTATTTCCCATCAATTACCAAGACTGTGATGGCCCACCATGGTTCATCTTCAGGTTCAGTGGCAAACTGAGGTTCAGGTTTGGAAGCAGGATCTGTATGTTTTGTGGGTTCAGGAGGTTTGGGATAAAGTTATCACATCGTTATGCATCATTATCCACATGTATTCGATGGTCTGATTTATTTTGGAGTCTACTGTCAGCCGGTGGGTGTGAGGGCAGTTTGTAAGGGGGTTGAGGGTTGGGGGAGAGGGGCATCGTGGGATGCCGTTATTCAAATTTCATTAAATTGAAAACCAGTGTTCTGTCCTGTAACGTTCTGCAGAGTTCAGTCAGTGTCTGTAGAGAACCGAAAACTGAGATTCACTAAAGAGAGTAACTCTTCTTCTCTGACAGCGGCCGGTGACTCTAACTCAGCAGCATCTGATAGACCCTCTGCCTCATCAGATGGAGTGACTGACACTACTACTCCTACTACTACTGCTACCACTACTGAGACTACTACTACTGATAGTTCTACTACTGACATCACTATTACTACTGACACCAGAACTTATGCTACTATTACTGACAGGACTACACCTACTGACAGTACTACTACTATAAACACTGCTACAACTATTGGCATTTCCACTACTGACCCTACTATTACTACTGATAGTACAACAACAATTTTTATGTACACATTAATTACTGATGCAATCTATACAAGCACACAAAGTCCTCTTACTGTTACAGATATAGGAAGTACTTCTACTACCACTGACACATGGAGTACTGCAGAGACAAGTACTAGTTATGACACTAAATCTGTATTTGACATGGACAGTGTATATACTATTAGTATTTCCATGACTGATACTAGTTTAACAACCTACCTCAGTAGTACTAGTGATACTGATGACTTTCCTAAAGCTGGTGTTGAATCTGCTACGACAACAGCTGTTACTGGTACTACAGTTTTTACTGCTGTCAGCAGCACTGTTTGTAGAACAGGTTCTGATGCGTTTCCAGACTTCCAGGGTACAGCAGGACGTACAACAAATACAGCTCTGTCCAGCAGTCCTGCTTTGGAGACTGGAGAAACTGTGTCCAAACCAGCTCTCACAGTACCAGACACCACCATTCCCAGTACCACTAGTAGCACCTCCAGTCTCTCCAGTAACATCAATACCAAGAGCCCCATAATCCCAGGCTACAGTACTGACTCTGAGGTGTCTATTTCTGACCCAGTGACTCTACCGTTTGACTCCACCTCCTCACCAGACAGCACAGACTCCGCCTTCTCTGGGACTGATACTACCAACCTGATCACCAGTACTACCCTATCTGCTGATGGTACTACATCAACCGGAGTCCCACTTCTAACAACCATCCCAGAAATAACCCCACCAGGTGATAGGGCTCCATCTGGAGATGCTCCACCCACAGTGTCAGCCCCAACCAGTCAGACTGGAAATGCTTCACCTACAGCAGGAGCTGACACAACCTCTCCTGAGGTTCCTTCAGACACTAGATATATACTACCTCAAGATGTACCTCCTCCTGATGTACCACTGCCAGATGTATCTTCCCCTGATGTATCTCCTCCAGATGTACTTCCTCCTGGTGGAGCTCCTCCTGCTGTACCTCCTCCTGATGTACAACTTCCTGATATACCACCTCCAGCTGTATCTTCTCCAGATGTACTACCTCCTGGTGGAAATCCTACTGCTGTATCTCCTCCTGATGTACCACCTGCTGATGTACCACCAGCAGTACCACCTCCAGACATACTTCTTTCTAATGTATCTCTACCAGATGTACCACCTCCTCCTGTACCTTCTCCAGATGTACCATCTCCCGCTGTACCTCCTGCAGATGTACCTCTTCCTGATGTACCTTCTCCAGATGTACCTCTTCCTGATGTACCTTCTCCTGATGTACCTCTTCCTGATGTACCTCCTCCAGATGTACCTCCTCCAGATGTACCTCTTCCTGATGTACCTCCTCCAGACGTTCCTCCAGAAGTGCCATTCTCTAGGACTCCAGACTCTCTGATAGATGTACCTCTTCCTGATGTACCTTCTCCTGATGGAGTAACTCCTGAAGTGTCTCCTCCTGATGCTCCCCCTCCAGCTCCCGATGCTCCTGTAGAGTCCTTGTCACTTCCCTCTGAAGAAGCAGGAGGTGATGCTGCACCAGACACAAGCTCCACCATCCTAGATCGGTCTGACCCTGCTGCCGATTTGGCCCCTGTGGACTTCACTTTCCCTTTTCCGGAAGATACAAATCCAGCTAAACCAGGACCAGATTCTGGATCAGATGCTGGACAATCTTCCGAACCAGTGCCTGTTGATGATCCTGGCATCATTCCTGATGATTCTCTTGGATCTATTGATGCTTCTGAATCAGATTCAGTTGATCCTGCACTGGATTCCATCTCAACAGGACCAGACACAGGGGAAATACAAAGTAGAGGACCAGATTCTCCTGTACCAGATCGTGCAGGTTCTGGTCCGGAATCTGGACCAGATTCTGTTCCAGCAGTAGATGATCCAGGATTAGGCTTGTCTCCTTCAGCAGCTCAAAAAGAAGGAAACTCTGAAAAGGCTTCAGCTGTTGGCCAACCATCAGGACAGTCCAATGAAAAGAAAGACTCTAAACAAGAGAAGACAGAAGAGCAGAAAGGTACAGACAAGTCCTTGTATTGTGAATTTCTTGTCATAATCTGGCTACTTAGGGTTAGGGTTATACAGTTGTATCACCAAGAAACAACAAAATGATTTCTTCATCAGTTAATTGTGTTCATTGTGATAAATCACTGACATCAAGCAGGTTTCAAGTCCTCCTTTCTGTAAAGTAAACCAGATCCATTATTCCCTTGTACTTCCTGGTGAAAAGTTGCTGCTGGTGCCTTGTGTTTTTTTAGAAGATGTAAGTACACATGGAAAACTGGCAGCAAACAAACCGGTTGGATAAATGAGGGAAGAGACATAAAGTTAAAACCAACAGGACCAGCGTGTTGATCAATCCTCAAATGAACTGAAACCCTCTCCTTTGTGGAACCAAACAGCTGCTGAGGCCAAAGAGGAAACAAAGACAGAATCCAAGGAGGAAAGTGTTGGTGAGAAAGAGGGAAAAGGCTACGAGAAAAAAGGTACATGTACAAACAGTGTTAGACCAGCCGCCTACTGGCTAGCATTAGAACTGCAGTACCAACATGAGTAGTAGAAGTAGTAGTAACTGTACCTGATGCTGTTTAGTTCTGAGCTCTAATTGGTGGTTAGTTCAGAGGTCAAACCCCGACCTTAGAGTTTTGGTTAGTTGCTACCTTACTGTTGCCATGGTTACACACCTTGCTTTGTGTCCAAAGCGACCCAGAAGCTTCTGATTCCAGGAGGACCAAAGTTCAGTCAACTGTCCAAAATCGCCTACGTCACCTTCCAGGGTAAGACTACCTCCAACCAGCTGACTCCTTCTCCCATACTGCGCCCACGCCCTGACAGATGATCCCTCCCCTTGAATAAATAGCCACTCCCAGATAAACTGAAAGTGTGTTTAGATATTTTGGCATCCTTGTTTATTGTTTCAACAAATGTCAATCAAACGTGACAGTAGATGTTTAGGCACTGGCTCCACCCCTTATCTTTCTGACCCCTCCTCTGTATTTCTGACCCCTCCCACTGTGATTCACTACAGATTGATCATTTTCAGGGTAAGGGTCACCAGAGAGAAGAAACACAAACAGACCTGTAACAAAGCTGTGCAGTCATGTGACCTGCTACAGTAGAAAGAATGTTGGCTGTGATTGGACCACAGATCCATCCCATCTCCATTAGTGTTCATGTTGTCTCACCTGTCCAATTGTTTGATTTCGGCCATGCTGTGTTCTGGTGCTGTGGGCGGGGTTATCTATGATGTGTGGAGCTTCTTTGTTAACTGTCATGACACAGTAATTTCACTGTACTCACAGTGAGTTAGTTAGAGTTAGTAAGTTGCATGTCAGGTTACGTTACCCAGTAGTATGATCTCAGATGTTGATCCAACTGTTGATCCAGTGTGTGACTCATAGGACTGACTCCAGGTGAGTGTGTTAGTAACGGTCTCTGTCTCTGTGTCAGACTGTGAGTGTAACGGCCACTCCAATCGCTGCAGCTACATCGACTTCATCAATGTGGTCACGTGTGTGAGCTGCAAACACAACACGCGAGGACAGAACTGTCAGTTCTGTCGCCTCGGTTACTATAGAAACACCTCGCTGTCATTGGACGACGAGAACATCTGTATGGGTCAGTAACACACACACACACACACACACACGTTCTATGTCTCTATGTCCAGTTTATTATTTATTACTAAATATGTTCAGTTACATGAGTGACTGGAGTTTGATTTTTTTTCCTGCAACCAACCAACCAATCATACTAATAATAGTAATAATAATACTAATAATAATAATAATGTCAAGTTTACCTTTGGTTACCTTTAAAAGGACGCTCAGGATGACTCACTGTCCTTTCCTTCCTTTGATTCTCAGTCCTGTCTGTTTTGTGCGGTCAGTAGAGTTTTAACCTAAGGTTGATATTTCCTCATTAAACTGTTATTCATTGATGATGATGATTAAATATTTTTACAGTACATTTGTTTATTAGATTAGATTTGTTATACTTCATTAACAATAAACCATACTCTCACATTTTGTGTCTTCAGCGTTAAGCTTAAATAATTCTAAATAATAGTCACATCCCCATAACTCATAATTGGGTAAGAGCAACAAAAATCCATGAATGAATCAGATCAAACTCTGGAAACACGCTGCTCAACATGATTGATCAATCATTGATCATTTATCAACATGATAGAACACGTCTACACCTGAACTAAAAGCTTCTGGTTGATAATGTTCATTTAATCAATACCAGTAAAACTGATGTCTTTCTCTGCCGAGAGCCCACACAGGTGTCTTACCTGTCTGTGATTTGTTTTCCCCTGAACATAGACGGATGGTCCGTTTCCAACTCTCTTCCTTCTTTTAAAAGTTTTTTTTCTTTTTCCTTAATTTGAGTTTGAAATAAAAAATAATAACAATAATAATAATGATAATCATCATCATCATCATCTCTGTCTCTGTCAGAGTGTGAGTGCGATGCAGACGGCAGTGTTTCTCCTCACTGTTCTGAGTCTGGTCTCTGTCAGTGTAAAGATGGAGGTGCAGGGAGGCGCTGTGACTCCTGTTTACCTGGATACACCTGGAGAGGAGGCAAAGCCAGCTGCACAGGTACACGGGCTTCAGAACCACTACGACACCTGATACAGTGTTTTTACCTGTGTTCAGGTGGCATGTGATGTCAGACAGTGTCATATCAAACCACTCCTCATGCTATCAATCATGTTTCCAATAACTGATTATTGATTATAATACTTGTGATCAATTAAAATGGTAATTATGATAACAGTCATGTCCTGTCTCCTCAGTGAACGTTTGTGACAAGGAGCGTTTGATTTGTCAGAACGGAGGAACTTGCGTTGACTTCCAGCGCTGCCTCTGTCCAGATAACTTCACAGGTAATTACTCACCTGGTGTGGGTGGGGCCCAGTTATGTCATGAGTCAGGTGTTGTGGGCAGGGACTGATGATGTCATCATGTGTGCAGGTACATTATGCGAGAAAAGTGTCTGTCTGAAGAAGAGTGGTTGCCCTGACAACGCTGAAGGCTCCTCATCGTCTCTGACCTCACACCTTTACCTGCTGACCCTTAGTCTGATCACCTCTGCCTCCTGCTGAGTCCGCCCACTGAGCTGAGGCCACGCCTGCTGATGACATCACAGAGTGATAAAAATTTAACACGATATAAAACCAAGAAGAACCAGTTTACTGTTTACTGACTGTTGTTTATTGTTGTTTTTTTACTGAAATCCACCTGTCACCTGTTGGAACAGGATATGACATCACATCCTGTTCCTGTGTGTAACTGTTTCACAAGCAAACTGAGGACACTGTTTTTAAAGTGTGTGGTCTGTAAAGTTTCTGCGTCTGTACCGCTGACGAAAAGATCCTCAAAGCAACGACTTTCATTGTGAAATTCTCTCTTTGCCTTTCCTGCTGCTTGAACGTGTGGACTCAGGTGTCTGTGACATGTTAAACTACCTGAGGACTCAGATTCAAACTCAGACAACTTTATTTAACGATCCATTATCAGCTAACCAGACGAGCAGCAGTTAACAAAATAAAACATCCTGTTAGAGCTGCTGGAAATAAAGAACTATATAAACATGAACACGGAGGATGTAACTGTCATTTAAAAAATAATGTAGTTATTATTTGCATTGTAATAAAGTTTACTTATAGAGCACTGATCACAATCACATATTACAAGAGTGTCAGAAGGAAAAAATAAAACAAACTATTTAAGATTTAAAACAGACATACAGTTCTCAAATCCCTCCTCTCTCTCTCTCTCTCTCTCTCTCTCACACACACGCTTTATAAAAAACACGTTGGCTTTCCGTGTCGCCGTGTGACGTCATCAGAGCGCGTCAATAGCAGCTAAACCACCGGCACCATGAGACGGTGGTGTAGGACCGGAGCGACCTTGGTGTTTGGAGCGGGACTCGGAGCTGCGGTCAGCCGCCTACTGAGCCTCAGAGGCGGGGAGGAGGAGGACGGTTTGCTCAACAGAGTCCCGGTGGTCCCGGTCCCGAGAGTCCAGGCCTCCGAGCTGACGGTGAGAGAGAGAGAGAGAGAGAGTGTGTGTGTGTGTGTGTGTGTGTGTGTACGCGCGCGCGACCTCAACACATCCTGTCACATTCAATAAAATAAAGCATCAAATCTCCACTTTTCACAAACTGAAACAACAAACGCAAATGTAGCTAATACATGTTCAGATACTGAGTTAACATATATGAAACATACATTTTTATTTTATATGTACACATATGTAAAAATTATACAACCAATTAGAAATTGGAAAAACTTCATAAATTGACATATATCCAATACATGTCTGTATATTTTAGGCAGATGTTATATAATATATATCCATCCACAGCCTGTCACAATAAGTTGCTATTATACTGTATATATATATATATATATATGAACCCTTTCACAGAATGTGAAGTTAGACATGTTTAAAATTAATGAGAAATTAATCAATATATTTATAAACATAGATTCTTTTGATTTTTTTGTATGTTGTTTTAATAAATTAAATCAAATATATGTTAACATGTTAAAATAATTGGCAAGCATATGTTTCCTATGTACAAATTCATCATATAGATATTTTTAATATATGTACATGCACAAATTTTACTCTTGAGTATTTCATATATGTAATAAACATATATCTTCATATATCAGAGGACGAATATATGTGATGATAATATATCCTCTTATAGGAACATATATGTCATATGTTACATTTCTTCATGGGATGAACTGGATTCATCAAAGCTGTTGGTCATTTTTCTGATGAATCAGTTCAGTGACTCACCTGACTCTGCTCCCAGTTGAGTCCAGGTAAGTCAGGAGCTGTGATGAAGTATGGCTTCCCCTCATTGGCCAACATCAAGACCAGAGAGTCCTACGTCACCTCCTACGACCCTCGCACACGCACTGCATCCTGGGTAATAGAGAGGCTGAATCCCTCGTCTCTGAGTGGCCCGTCAGACAGGAAGTACTGCGACTTCAAAGAGGACGACAGGTGAGACAATCCTGTCAGTGTGAATCACTGTTGATTTGTTTGTTTACTAACTGCTGCAGCTGTAATCATGTAAACAGCAGGGACTGACTTAACCCCGCCCCTCTCTGTTTAAACCCCGCCCTTTCCAGCATACACATGTTTCACAGATCGACCAACGCTGACTTCAAAGGGAGTGGCTTTGACAGAGGTCACCTGGCTGCTGCAGCCAATCACAAGTGGAGTCAGAAAGCTATGGAGGACACCTTCTACCTGAGCAACGTCGCTCCACAGGTACACACACACACACACACACACACACACACACACACACACAGGTATACACCCACAACACACAACAGGTCATACAACACACACACACACAGGTACAACACAACACACCACACAGGGGCGCATACACACACACAAACGCAGGTTGCATTACACACACACACACAACACCACAACACACACCCAAGGGTGGCATACACACACACACACACACACACACACACACACACACACACACACACTCTGACTGATGGTTGAATGTGTGTGTTCTGTGTTCCTTTTAGAACCCTAACTTGAACCAGAACACCTGGAACAATCTGGAGAAACTGTGTCGCTCTCTGACCAAACGCTACCTCAACGTGTACGTCTGCACTGGCCCGCTCTACCTGCCCAGGTAACCTCGGCTTCTTCTTCTGTGGTGTCTGACTGCTCAGTGGGAGGAGCTGTAAGGTGACATCTTCAGGTGTGTGTTTCAGGCAGGAGGCTGATGGGAAACTCTACGTTCATTATCAGGTTATTGGGCGAAACCACGTCGCTGTGCCAACACACTTCTTCAAGGTGAGTCTACCTGATGATAAGGATGATGATGTCACCTGTCTTTCTGTCAGAGGATGACGTCTCCCGTCCGGTCTCCTCAGGTGCTGATCCTGGAGCAGGCCGATGGTAGGGGGGTGGAGCTTCGGTCGTACGTTTTACCAAATGGACCAATAGATGACAAGGTTCCTCTGGAGCGTTTCCTGGTTCCCATAGAAACTGTGGAGAGAGCGTCAGGACTTCTGTTTGTCCCGAACATCATGAAGAGAACGAGCAGCCTGCAGGCCATCGCCCACAAGTAAATGTCAGTACCCACAATGCATCACCCACGAGTGAACTGCAACACCCACAATATATCAGATACATGAACTACCGTACCCAGAATCCTCTGCTGCTGGATGTTCTATCTGTGACCTCAGTTCTTGTTTCCTGTTTCCAGCAGCAGGTTTTAAAGTAGAGGTCCAGACCCGTCCAGAGACCTGAGTCTTATGGGGTCAGGAAGGGTTCTGGTTTTACTGCTGGTCTCAGGTCTGTGTGTCGTCATGATCCGAGTGGAAAACATATTGAACTCATATTTCAGACAGGATGGTTTTCTCCAGTCTGATCCAGGTCCAAGTCCAGGTACTTCCTCTACTTAACTGTATAAAAAGTCAACTCTATAATCTACTGATGAATACGAGTCTCTCTGACTCAGGTGTTTCTGTTTCTTATTTTAATGGCTCGACTTTCATATTATTTAATTTCTTTTTCTTTCTGTGGTCAATAAAGATCTATTATCCATGTGTTTTAAATAAAGTTTGTTTAAAAGAAATTAAGTGTCAGTGCAGTCTGATTCTTTTCCTGAGTCCATTGAGGTC